TGGATGTATTTAAACAGTACACAACTTTAACGGGTACAGCACCATTACCTCAAATGTTTACTTTAGGCTATCATCAAAGTCGTTGGAATTACAACGATCAAGATGATGTTATACAAGTAGCAGAAAATTTTGATACACATGATTTACCTTTGGATGTTATGTGGCTCGATATCGAGTACACCGACAGTAAAAAATATTTTACTTGGGACGGGCGAAAATTTCCAAATCCTATTGAAATGGTGCATAATTTAACTGCAAAAGGTAGAAAATTGGTTGTAATTATTGATCCGCATATTAAACGTGACCCTGGTTACTTTTTGCATAATGATGCCACAAAAATGGGTTATTACATTAAAACAAGAGATGGAAAAGACTACGAGGGTTGGTGTTGGCCAGGATCATCCTCGTATTTAGACTTTTTCGATCCAGCGGTACGAGAATATTATATCAGTCAATATAGTTTAGATAAATTCCATGGTACCACTAATGATGTGTACATCTGGAATGATATGAACGAACCAAGCGTATTTAATGGTCCCGAAGTAACTATGCCTAAAGATGTGATCCATTATGGTGGTTGGGAGCATAGAAGTGTTCACAATATTAATGGACTTCTTTTGTCTATGGCTACATATGAAGCTTTATTTAGAAGATCAGAAGGCTCACTACGGCCATTTACACTTGTGAGATCTTTCTTCGCTGGTTCACAACGTTATACAGCTATGTGGACTGGCGATAATACAGGCGATTGGGATCACCTACGTGTAAGTTATCCAATGTGCCTCTCTTTAGCCGTTTCTGGAATGTCATTCTGTGGAGCAGATATTGCTGGTTTCTTCAAAAATCCAGACTCTGAACTGTTCATTAGATGGAATCAAGCTGGTGCCTGGCTTCCCTTTTATCGTCAGCACTCTCATATTGAAACTAAACGGCGCGAACCTTGGTTATTTAACGAAGAAACTCTTCAAATCGTCAAAGAGGCTTTTAGAATGAGATATTCATATCTACCATTATGGTATACACTTTTCCGAGAACATGAAATAAATGGCACTCCGGTAGTGCGACCTTTATGGGCTCATTATCCAAGTGAAACTGAGACATATGCTATCGATGATGAAATATTAATCGGTGACTCTATACTTGTACGCCCGGTCTTTCAACCATCAGTTACAGATGTTAACGTATATTTCCCTGGAGAAGGCACAGTAATTTGGTATGACGTTGATACCATGCAACCATATTACCGACCAGGCTTAGTTAATATTCCGGTGACGCTTCATAAAATTCCGGTATTCCAAAGAGGCGGCTCTATCGTTCCACGTAAAATGAGAATACGTCGTAGTACAGTAGCAATGAAAAATGATCCCTATACTCTGATAGTTACCACAGATTCTGCGGGTAAAGCTAATGGCACATTGTACATCGATGATGAATCTAGCTTTGAATATCGTCATGGAAAATACTTGTATTTAAGACTTAATTTTGAAAAAAATAAATTAACTTCTACATTTATCGACAAATTATCTTCATATCAGACAGAAAGCTGGTTGGAAAGGGTAGATATTGCAAATCCACCTAAAGGTGTTAAATCTGCTATATTAAATTCACGCAGTATGTATCATCCTAATTCAATTCAAAAACGTATCATTTAACATCATAATTAAATTACGAATTATTTGTGTTTTAGGTATGGCAAAGGTTAATTTGGAGACTAAATACAATCCAAACAATAATGTATTAACCGTGCGTAAGCCAGGTGTAAATATGGGAGAAGAATGGTCTATCGAATTGATCCATTAGAAGTTTACTCATCATAGACTCAGTAATCATACATTAATGCCAATTTTCTATTATTCACGTATTTTTATTAGCTATGTGTGATCAAAATGCCATTATATACCGTAACGAGATAAATACAACATAGAATTAATGTAAATGATATATATATCAGATATTTCACCAAATTAAAGATTACTTTGAATTAATTAAACAATAGAGAATGTAAAACTATTACTTAACGTGTAAAGTTTATAATTATGCATGTTAATTTGGACAAAACATATATAGGAGCATTATCATATGTAAGTACATTTTAGAGGTAGGAACATTAAATATGTTCCTATGAATAAATATTTAAATACTTAATACATTAAGTTTTATGTTCATATATTTTATAATTAATTTTTAGTTCTACATGATGTTGTTTATTTCTTATTTCGTTAAACAAACTTATTTTGTTGCAAAAATGTAATCAAAGGAGCTGTAAACATGAAATTACAAAGAAATTTTTTATTTTCATCGTAAAAAGATGTTTTATTAAATTAAATACGTTCTGCAGGCGCTTGTTTATGAGCTAAATATAAAAATACTATTGATGATAATGCAGATACCAAAAATATAACGTCAAACCACCTATGATAAAAATTAAATTGCAATTCTCCTAAAACTTGAGTTATTATAATCCGATATTCCGCAGGCATATTCATTCGCATTAGAAGCACAGATGACACAAAATACATACCCTACAAAAAACATATAATTATATCATCAAAAAAGCAATAAACTTTTATCCATATCAAATAAAATAATCTTACCATTATTTGAGCAAGTATAAGTACGATAATATTCGATGATTTGCTGCTTGATATCGCGTAAAAAAACTGAAATAACAGAATAATCAGTATTTAATAGATATTTTCAAACTTCTAAATGTTTTCGAAATAATGCAAAAAATATCTGCTTCAAACATACCTTCGTGAGTGTTAGTAATAAACCACGAATTGATGTTAATACAATACAACCAACAAGATAGAAGGAAATGTGTTGAGACCAAAATGTAACATCGATATCAAAACCAATCCAGTGTACTGCAATTTCAATTGCTCTAGTTACGGGATCTTTCTTGCCCACGCGATCGAAAACAATATTAATTGTTGACTAGAAGAAAACATAGATTTCAAATCTATAATTTTTTATACAATTCTATTGTATAGATGCTTACAATGAATATTTTCCAAGTACAATACACAGAGAAAAAGTACCCTAAAACATTAAAATATTTCCCCTGCCAAGTAGCAGCCCATTCTAAACGTTCTCTTGCATTTTGAATATCGTGTGCTTCTAAAAATAATTGCCGAGATAATTCTTCTAACGCTGTAACTTCGGTTTGTAACTGTTTAATACCTGCGATTATATTTCATGAGATGTACATGTAAACAAAACTATTTTATATCCTAATCATATCAAAGAATGTAATACATACTTTCCTGATTACTTTTAGTACCACTTAAAGGACCAAACATCCCCCAAAGTCGAGATCTAGCTTCAGTTTGCCCTACAACTTCTCCCTTCTTAGCTAATGCCATTCTCTTTTTCTTAGCCACGATCATATCCATTGTTTGTAATAATCGTTTTTCTATAGCCTGTACGTCAGCATATGTTACAGGTCTCATAAAATAGGCCATTGAAGTATATGGATAATTTACAGCACCAAATCCTGACAATAGTGCCATAACAGTGACACCAATAACTCCTATTCTACTAACACCTTGTTCAATGGATAATAGGCCTTTTTTTGGACTTAAGATTGGAAAGGGATTTCCCACTTTCCAAAACAAGTAAAGATAAAAGAGATATACAACAACTGTTAATGGCCTTATTAATTTCAGTCTTACTGTAAAAAAATGATCGTTTAATATATTCAATATTACATACTAATGTAAATATTTATAAAATACACTCACCAAATCTGATATTGCTAATGATGAAATATGCTATGTAAAATGGAATCAAAACAATTACCATAAATAGGAGCATATAAAGGCCAACATTCCAATGAAAATATCTAGAACTAAATATACATTATATTATTAATGCTCAATTTAAAAAAAATCATTTACTTACCTGGAGTCAAGAACTCCAATTATTTCAAAAATAATTAGTTCGAACATAGTACAAGATAGTGAAAATGTTGTGGAAAAAATTAGTTGTACTAATCTGTGATGAACTTCATAATCCCGAAATAATTTTTTTACAAAAAATACCCATCCTCCCAAGAAGAAAATAATCTGCAATATGCAATACAAATACATAAAAAGATAAAAATAAACTAATTAGGTCTGATAATACACAATCTGGCTAGATGAGATTAACAATACTTGTTATTTTAAAAATAGATTACACAATTTCAGAATGGCACATTTATTATAAAATTATTAACATTAATACAAACAATACATAGTACGTTATAAAAATTTAATAAAGCTAACACCCGACTATTACACAGAAAGTTTAAAATAATTTCACAAAATTTAATTTTTAATTTGCATTTCAATATCCATGAAACGTAAATATGTTTCGAAATTCGCATTATTAATAAAAATAATATATAATAGAAAAACATAAATATTACAGTTACAATCCTTTAATAAAAATATCAATCACTTATAACCTAACTCTGCAATATCTACGAGTACCGGCAAGAATCTATTTATATTAGTGGAAATAAATTTCCACCTGTGTGATTAGAATCACGAATGTATCTTCCAAGAAACCCATTTTTTAATATCACACACACTTCGCATTGCAAAGTATGAAATTGATCTCGTTGCTTGTCAGAATACGTCAATGAAATTGTCACTGCACATAACGTAGTAGTCGTTATTATAAGATTTGCCCCACTCCGCATCCATTAATACTTTACAAATTATGTTGTGATAAATGCATATTTATACATGTACAAACATCATTGAGAAGATTGGTTTCTGTAACATATTGAACTAAAAAATTTTATACTTGTTTTGATACAGTGCATTATATTTTATAAAGATTACTCTTTGAAAAACGGTATCAAACTAATAAAAATTATTATGAATTACTGCAGATACTACCTATTAATCCGTTTGTATAAACTAAAAGTAAATTCAATAAAATAAGGAAGAAATAAAGGTTTATAAAAAGATTTAATTAAATATTACGTTTACTATTTTAATATACATATGTTCAATTTTATTTTGTCGCATTGGTTATAAAGTATTTATGGTTATAAAATTTAAAAATTCATAATTTCCACATACTACATACGACGTTATAATTTCTTCGAAGGTTATTTCTCAGCTTGTATCTACAGCTTGTTTTGTAGATGTATTCAGTGGTATTACAGGCTAATGGAGATATATACAATAAGCAAAATATTTTATTAAATTTATATTAAAAGTACTGTATATCCAAACTTACCTCATTCTCTGTATCTTCAATATCTTTAAGTGTTTCTCTATACCTTTTAAGTAGTCGTTCATGTGGAGAGGTTTTAATAAGCTTTTTAGAATACTGAAAATCCTTTTTTGCAGGAGTTAAACCTATTTAATTTCAGTTAAACAAATAATTTTTCAAAATTATAGATATACATGCAATATATATAACAATAGTATAAATACTAGTGAATAATTGATCATACCTGTTGGATTATCGCGATATAAATCTTCTGTAAAGAATTTGTCAACTTGATCAAGTATTTCTTGCATTTCTAAAATACTTTTGCTATTCACATTTTCTGCATTAATATTTTCACTCTCAAGCTTTTTACTCATTTCTGTAAATACAGTCATAAATGCCATTTTACAATCATCAAAACATTTTATATGTTCATTGCTAGTGGTATAAACTTTCATGTACATATCCTGAAAACCATAATATTAAAAATAAAATGAGAATTGAAATAACTTTAACAATTTTAGGTGCCAACTTACATTGATTGCTGACAAAATAAAGCTTTTATCTTTTGCCATCTTTTGCTGCATTTCCGTAATATTATTTTCCACGCAATTTTTAAAACTCATTAATGTATCACAATTCTTATTTATGTTCGATTGGAACTGATCTATTGATATTTTACCTTGTGCTATAGCGCTTTCGTTCAACAATCGAGACTATCAAAAGAAATGAATATCAAATTACCTCATAATATTGTACAATAGGGAATCTGCTTTCCTAAGAAATTCAGTATTTTTTACCTTATCTGTTCCTTCAACAACTACCTTTTTCACTATTTCTAGATCACTTCGAAATCTTTCTTGCAAATCATTTTGTTTTTCTATCTTTATTTTGCAAGTATCTGAAGCTTGATTATTTATAGTTCTACAAGTTTCATCAATATTGTCTAATATATTGCATATTGAAAAATGATTCTCTTCCTGCTCCTTTTGTATCTCATTAAAACAACGTTGCAAATCGTCCATCATCTGCAAGTAGACAATATCAGGACTGCAACAATATAGTCCTTTTTTTAAAGTAACGTACCTTTGCAAAATTTGTCCGTTTCTCGATAATATTCTTTTGACCCTGTCGAATATTTTCAATATGTTCTCTAATTTCTAACATATCGTTATTTAAGCGAACCCGCTTTTCAGTTGAACATTTAGAAATTGATGTCATGGATTCTTTTGTAGATTCTATTAAGTTATCAATATTTTGAGAAATATCAGTGTTTAGCGCTTGCAAACCTTCAGCTAGTTTATTCTCCAGTAACTGATGAAATTTTTGTACAATATGGGAAGAAATATTATTTAACATACTAATTTTTATATTAGTCATAGCTGTAACATTTTCACTTTTATTTCCCAACCACTGTTGATACCTTACATACTAAAAAATAAATATTTTAATTTGATGAATTTCATAATAAAAATATTAATTGTATTTTGTTACATACAGAATCATCCATATTTTTCATCAACTCATTGATAATATTTTGTTTAAAATTAACAAGATCCTGGGACATAACTTGAATCGCCTTTCCAATGTCCTCGCTAACTGATACACTTTGCGCTTCTAAAGAAGCAAAATAGTAAGTATTTACTTACAAAATTCAATATTTCTACTGAATATTCTACTTACCAATATGATCCTTCATAGATGTAGAGAATTGCATTAAATTTTTGGTATGCGATGCAATATCAGCTTCAATTTTTTGGATTTGTTCTTTAATGTTGTTCTTAAACTGTTGTCCAAGAGATTTATTTTGCTGTCCTATTTGTCTATAAATATAAAATGTTAATTTTAAATTCACAAATATAATCTAAAATTTAGGATTTTATCTGAGAGAAAGTGCTTACAATTTACGAAAGATTTTATCATGAAGTTTATTTACATCTGAGGTGGCTGTATCAGCAACATCTAAAACTGTTTGTACTTGTGATAAAAGAATATTTTCAGTATTTGCATGTTTTTCAACAAGAAATTTTTGTTCCTCTTTTTCTCGTTCCGATATTGCCAAGCGTGTTGACGTTGACATTAAAGCATTTACTGTGCTTTTCAATTCATTTTTTGTACTTAATATTTCATTTGCTTGTTTGGAAGTTATTGATTTTAATTCGTTAAATATTCGCTAAAATAATAATTTTGATTTTTGCATTGTGTAATACAATAAGAACATAATAGAAATTATAAAACTTTGATCAACAATCACCTCTTTAGAGTTCATACATTCTTCAAGTGCTTTAATATGATTCAATTTTTCCTCTATTTCTTTGCTTTGAAATTCTATCAAAGATTGCATTTCATTGTAACTGTCCGGAGTTAGATAAATACCATTTCGTTCACGACATGCTATTAAATCTTTCTTTAATCTTTCAATTTCTTCAATATATTCTTGAAGTAATGCCTTCTTAGAAAATTTTTGATTAACTTCAGGTCGATTTGTGATATTTTTAGCACGATGTGCATAATCTAATGTTGACAAGGTTTCCTCAAGATTAATACTAGCAGAAGATATTGTAGCAATTATTGAAGTTCTTGTACGTCCACCTAATGATTCCTGGAGCAACCGTGTTAATTTAGATTCTCTGTACACAAAAGATAAACAAGAAAATTCAATAGTTGAATGTATGTTATAAATTAACTATCAGAAATTATATTAATTTATTAATAATTACTTAATTTTACCTATAAGGTACATGTGGAGCTTTTTCTGCTAATGCTGTTATAACTCGACCTAAAGTTAATAAAGATTGATTGATATTGCCTGCTTCTCTTGCTCTTCGGTCAACAGCACCAGACCTTCCAACATTCTCACTGCCAGCTAGATCAACTAAATTTAGTTTTCCTGTTTTCAATAGCTCTTCACCCTCTATAGTATTCTCCCTTATATGAACAGTAATAGAAAATATTGTGTGGGAACGACTAAAACGCAAATAGTATTAATATTGAATTTCATGAAATAAAATAGACATAAATAGCTATTTAAAATATAAAAGCAGAATATTTTTTAACCTTGAATGATCATTCATCAGAGTAGCTGCAGTCTGCCGTTTTTCTGATCCTTTCTGAAGGATGTTAAATACTTCATTTTTAGTATGTATTGACATTTCTTCTAAACCATGTACTATTACAGCACCTTTTTTAGTTGGATCTTCATATATCCTTTTAAATCATTATACAGAATTTTGAGAAAATAGCAATACATGAACAAAGGGTATAAAAATCAAATACCTTATTTTAGCAGCATCCTCACTAGGAGATAATAAATCAAATATTTCCTCGTTGTATAATTCTAAATAGCTGACTCTTACTGAGTATTCCTGCACGCCTAATACGCGCAATTCATCAAATAAGTGACTTAAAGCTCGAGGTATGATTCCAGCAGTGGAATCCTGTAAAATTTATACATATATACATATATATATGTGTGTATTCATATATATCTTTATATATATATGCATACATTATAATATATAATATATTCTTTTATGTTGTCTATTTCAAGACTACTATTTGTAGAAAGAAAATGTTAAACCAACTGTTTGCCAATGTAATGATGGATCATTGTCAGTTCCTTCCATTGTGAAAGTCTTTCCAGTGCCAGTTTGTCCATATGCAAACACTGTGCAATTATATCCAGCCAAAACTTCTTCCAGCAAAGAACTGACAACTGCATTATATACTTGTATCTAAAAATTTATTAATAATTATTCATCTTTTTTAAAATGTTATCTATATAATATTAAATACTAATTGAAAGACGCACCTGCTTTGAATGAGGTCCAAATACTTTGTCAAACGTAAACTTTTTTGTAAATTTATCATGAGGTCTTTCCCGAATGACGACTTCTTTATTAGATGGTATATCAACAACTGTTGCCGATTTCCCGGCTTTCTCAGCATTATTTATTGGCCTACCATAAAACAAAGCAACATCAATATAAAATTACATTTTAAAACAAAGTTTTGTTTAAGTACTTTAAGTTTAAGTTTAATATGGAATTACCTGACACGGACAAAGACTTGTATATGCTGCTTTTTCTCTTTTTTCGCATTACGCGTGTCGTTCATTTTTGTGGAATAAATCTTCTTTACACTCTGATCGCTTTTAGTTATTTCACCTTAAACATTCGTCTCTTTTTTTCGTAGAATAAGTCGCTACCTTTCACATTGTATATAAACGCTTCCTTATATTATTAACCGTTGAACAATTTAAAATCTATGTTTTACAACAGTTCCAACAGAGGTCTCTTACATCGAACTGTACGTAAAATCACAAAAATTTATCCTCAGTTACTCTATAAATTACCAAAGCAAAACCAAGATATCACTCTACAATCTCCAAACAGAAAAGAAATTAAATAATTAACTAACTACACGGAAACAATAGTTATATTAATCTATTGTGTAATGATTACAAAAAAATCAAATATCTATAAATCTTTTTATGTAACTTTCAATATCAATAATAAAATTTTTACATATATTATAGAGACGAGGCAGTGAAGAAGTGAAATTCGAATATCACTAGTCGGCAGCCAATAATTGCAAGCGCGGCAACCAAATTTTGTTTCCGTTTACTGTCTCGTTTTGTTGGACAGACTATAGATAAATGTACAGTTACTGATATGCTTTGAAATACTTCGAATCCCTTCAAATACGTAATCAAAAAGAGGTATTGTATTAATTGCATATAATAAATAGAATTACATAGAAGATCAGAATAATATGCAGAGTAAATTTATGAGAGTTGAAGCTTTAATTTAACTCTTGAACAGTCCAAAAACTCGCCTTATAGTTCGAGAAGTATCATTCTTTAATTATAAAGAAATTAATTTCACTGTTTTACGGTTAAATGGTTATAATTTTTCCTAGATTCATCAATGGAGCGATTTTTAAAATTGCTATGAAACCAAAAAGGAGAGAGAATATTTAGATAAAACTAATCTCAAATAATCCCTTATATTCTAAACTTTCATTTGAGCAAAATTTAACACATTCTGTCTAGGAGTCGAAGAATTTGGATTTTTTAATTTTGTCATTTGTCCATTGAACAGAATTAGATGTTACATATGTACAGTTCAGACGCAAATATCTTAAGAATAAATTATGGGGACGGTATGGTTATTAAGGTTGTTAAATTTGTTTTCTCGCGCTCTACAAAGTTACAAAAAATGAACATGTAGTTCTACTTAAAAAAGATGACGATCTTGAAATCTTGTAAAAAAAATGTTCATCGTTGAACGTGGCCTTCGAAATACTGTAATTTCTGATAACTTCTTAAAAAATCGTGTTCAGGGTACTTCCTTTTTTGACAGTACTAACAAATCGTAGATTACGTATAATTATGAATTACAAATTGAAGTTCAAACATCTATCACAGTAGAGAAACTCAATTCTTCTTATCAATTTATTTAAAATCATTCATGATATCGTAAATTTTGTAGCAATAAATTTATTTATATTTATACCGGGGGCTATAAATAAATGGCTTAGAAACATAAATTAATTAAAAAACGTCTATGAATGAAATTTATATGTATGAATTCGTTCGTATGCTTACTTTGGATTTTTTCAAAAAGACTAAGGTTTTTTGGTATTAATTTTTCCATATCTATTTATTTATGTTCTAAAAATATTTACCATGTTTTAAAGTGAAAATAATTCAAATTATCCAGATTATAAGGCATGGACTCTGTGTTTTATTTAAAACTCGTGTAAGTGCATTAATTTTACGAATTTGACAAAATCTTTCTACAAAAGAAATTGATTCTTTTTAAAATTATAGATTAGAATATTTACTTAATAGTTTGATTGAATTACATAGAATATATAAGCATAATCCTAAAATTGTATCACAAATTTCTTTCGGTTGCATCTACATGGATCAGAACTGTTTGTGAATTGTTTGCATGTACTACTGTAAATATAATATTTCATAAATTAAGATATTTTGCTATACTAGTGCCTTCTTTCTAAACTTTTTCCAATAACTTCCCTTTTCACTTCCTCTCTTTATATAAGAGGTCTATATAAAAACATTTGTAATAAAACATGGCTATTTGTAAAGATGACTATGTCAATCTTTAAGAAACACATTTGAAGGATTGTAACCCATAGAATATGAACGTGGGTGCTATGCCATAAAAGCTGTAAATATATTCGTTTTATAATATTTTAGTTCATTTATACTTTCTTTGATATCAGATAAAGCTCTGTGACAACGTTTCTTTTCTGGCATATTTTTATAAATTGTTGGATTCCATCTCCTAAAATAAATTATGCATTATTTTTAAAAATAATATAAATTAAATATAATCTATAATAGCTATTACTAGAGTATACAGATAATTTAAATGCAAATACCTGACTAGTTCTTTAATCACACTGCAATCAATAATTCTATAATGTAAGTAATCATTGACTAATGGCATAAATTTTAATAAGAATAAACGATCCATATAAACTGTATTACCAGCTAAGGGACAACTTTTACTTGGAATGTAGTTTTTTAACAAATTAAGTAACATTTGTTCTGCATCCTTTAAACTATATTTGCTACATTTAGATTTTGCTATCAAGCCAGTCTGGAAAAATATAGTTCTTATGATAAATATAAGTTATAAATGCATGTTCAAAGCTCAAATAATTACTATAGTAAAAGATAGTTGATTCACCTTTGTATGCCAGTTAGTGCACCATTCATTCATATTTTCTAACACTACATCTGGTTGATTAATTACAACATTAAATTCTTCACTTATAATGTTCAAATCTTTGTCAGTTATCAAACAAGCAACTTCCAAAATTGTATCCTTTTCTATATCAAGTCCAGTTAACTAAAAAGGAGTTTAGTATAATATTTTTATACGTTTAAGTTTATGATTACAGTGATTGTATATTCAGAAAAACTAAAGCAATCAAATACGTATACAAATCCTTATGAGTGTATACTATAACTTAACCTAAAAAAAATTTCATAAAATATTTACTTCTGTGTCTATCCATATGATGCAATCACGATTGTCATATGCCATATTTTCGCTTGATGAGATCTAAAATATAACATCCGTTTTATAACTATTCTCGGAAAAGGATTTAAAAGATAATTTATCTTCCTCTTTTATCACTATGTTGAAATGTATTTTTCTAAAGAAAATTTTAATATAGATAAACTGATTTGCATAAATTGATTTGCAATTTTGATATATATTACAGGCATCGTTACATAATAATTGATATTTTATAATTATTAAAACAACGTATTTCTCGTATGAAAAAACGTGAAACATAAACTCGAAACCTAACCTAACCTAATCCCAAATTAAATGTCTATACTAGTATAATTACATAATTGATTATATAAAATATAACTATAATATATTATAATATAACTATTACAATAAAAACATATATTTTACTTTAATTAAATACTTTAGTAAAAATAAGTTCAGTTATAATGCACTTACTGAATGTAAAATTTAATGCTATGTAATGTACTGGATGTTAAAACCTTATAGAAACTAGAATGACTCTTTCCTATGCCTATGCATTCCTTTCCCTTTTGTACAGCATACAGTATCAATTATATATCAAATTATTTTTAACTCATTACTTATAAGGAGTTCATATGCCAATTTTCATCTCTTTAACTTTAACATCCTGTGTGTACGAGCGTCGCATAAAGACGACGTCCGTGGGATACCACTTAACCATGAGCCTCGCGCAACGACGTTTTCCGTCGCAGTGCTCCGTTCAGTACCGCTATTCCGGCGGCACGATGGCCCGTACAGCGGTGTCATTCCGACGGAGCACACTGCCGTAGCGAAAGGGTTAATGACAGGCTACTTATTCAAAACGATACCTTTTATGTACACGAAATGAACATGTACATGAAAATTAACAAGAAGTTAGAATTCAAATTAAACTTTGTTGTAGAATGTCCTTTTTTTTAATTTAAGCTGTAGTTCCACCTATTATGAATTACAATCAAAAGAATATACGAATAAAATATACACGAATAATGTAACGTATGGAATATCGAACTGTTCTTTCGAGAAAAGGATTGTTGGCCCTGAAAAGGGCCGTTCTTATTTTTGCTACCAGAAAAACATTTAAGCTCGTTCTCCACGAATTCTACGTGCCAACTGGATATCTTTTGGCATGATAGTAACCCTCTTAGCGTGAATAGCACAAAGATTCGTGTCTTCAAAGAGCCCAACTAGGTAGGCCTCGCTTGCTTCTTGAAGCGCCATAACTGCTGAACTTTGGAAACGAAGGTCAGTTTTAAAGTCCTGTGCAATTTCACGAACAAGCCGTTGGAAAGGCAATTTACGGATCAAAAGCTCAGTACTCTTTTGGTATCTTCGAATTTCACGAAGAGCAACAGTTCCGGGACGATAACGATGAGGTTTCTTCACTCCTCCAGTTGCAGGTGCACTTTTACGTGCAGCCTTTGTCGCCAATTGCTTTCGGGGCGCTTTACCACCAGTCGATTTACGAGCAGTCTGCTTAGTACGAGCCATTATAGTCTAATATTACACTATGCGCGCAGAAGACAATATACAAATAGAGTTTCCCAGCTCCGACGACTTGGAGTTTATATATCTCACGAGGCAAGAGCTGTGAGCGTCTGATTGGTTCATTGCGATCGAGAAGGGGCAGTCAATCCAGGGAAGTTATTTTGGATTGGCCAGCTCGATAATAGTGGGGGATCAGTATTTATCATATACAGAGGTATTTAATAACTTTTTAATTAAAAGAGTAATTATCGCTACAATTACAATCCAAAAGAGGTACCATAAAACCAGCTATGTTCCCCTTCCGCTCAATAAAACTACAATCTAACTGCCAGTTAATCTTAAAATTCTTATTCACCAAGCTTGTATCTATGTATATTGTACATGCCTTATCTACTTACCAAAGCAGAACATGGTACGATTTCGGAGGTTAAGTTATAAATTGAGATTAATTTTGTATAATCGATCCTTTTTAGGACCATCACTATTTTTAAATGTATGGTAATTCTCCGTTTATACAATAAGACAACAGTCTACTATGTTTAAAATTAAAATAAATATTAATAACTAAATATTAATTCCTCGTTATTGTCTGTCGTTAGATAAGGCCGATGATATATTGTTATAACAAACAGGTGGTTAGTACAATGTAGTTAATAAGATATACATGTTTAAGTTCCTGAATTATATTTCAGATATATGTATTTGAAGACAAATGGAGCCATACAAAAATGGGCACATGAGAACCTAAAATTTTGATGGGAGTTGTATATAAAGAAGTTTTCAACCTTTCTTAGTACTATGTACTACATATATATTCTTTTATAAGTCCGTAATAACGAGTTTGTCTACTTGTAATTCTTTTAGTATTCTAGGCTTCTAATATGAATAGATATTTATATTACACTTCGTTCTCCTTGTTTCCCAATTTGTTAAAATAGTAATTGATATTTGCAGTTTTGCTATTTCTAAATGAGGTAATCATATATCGTTTATTGCGTGATATAAATACAATGTTACAACTCCAAGTCTATGATACTAATCGGCGCCGTTATTCTATAGTTTATGATCTTGCTACATACACGTATCTTGATTGGATAATACAGAATTAATAGATAGTATTGCGAATGATGTTTATTTAAATTTTACTCAGATTACAATTCTAATCGATTAGGAGAATTAAAAAGGAAACCAAGCAAAAGTTCCAATGAAAAAAAGACTGGTGGCCCTGAAAAGGGCCGATCATTTTAAGTGTGTGAAAGAAGATGTTCTTTTCTTTATTTGGTATTTGTATACTTAGAAACTGCCTTTGTACCTTCGTTAATTGCATGCTTAGCAAGTTCCCCAGGCAATAAAAGCTTGACGGCGGTTTGTATCTCTCTCGATGTAATAGTACTTCGCTTGTTGTATCCGGACAAACGAGATGATTCGATAGCAATTTTCTCGAATATATCCTGCAGAAAACTATTCATAATCCTCATGGCATTGCTCGAAATACCTGTATCTGGATGAACTTGTTTAAGTACTTTATAGATATAAATCCCATAATTCTCCTTCCTCTTTTTCTTTTTCTTTCGATCCGGTTTGTTTATATTAATACTTTCCTGTTTCCTTTCTTTTTTTTCCATTATTTTTGCAATACCTTTGAGAACCATTATTAAATGCGTATACTCTTTACAATATAAACACACAGAACATCTATACTTGTTAAAATATAAGCACACAAAATATCTATACTCGTCAAAATATAAACGATCTATACTATCTGTATTAATTGAAAAATAAACATTCAGACTATTTATATTCGTCGAAATACAAACATATACAATGTTGTCTCGCGCTCGTCTCACGTTTCTATTCGGTTCTTCTGCTTTTATAGAAAACATCGTTCAATTCTCATTGGTTGAAAATGTAACGCGTTCATTAATCGTTCCAATGTCCCTGAAATGTTTCCAATGTTTCGTTTAAATTTAAACAGTACCCAGCAGAGACGTTAAAGTAATCTGGTTTTACTTTTCCATGCCTTTCGAAATGCTTTCTTAACTACTAATCGGTGGCAACTTTATCTATCGAAAAAAGCAAACTTGACGAGGGAGATACACTTCCAAAAAATTTCAAGTATCTTTCTCCTCGCTTCACGAAGTCAATTTCAACTCTCGGTGGTGATAACGGCGACAGGCAATTAACGAAGCAAAGACACAGTTAACCAATGCGACACTATCCTTCCGCATACCATGATACGAAATCAGTTTCTTTCGTACGATAAAAATTTCTCTCTCTCTCTCTTTCTCTGCATAGCTGTTGCGCCGCATAAAAAACGACACGATCGTTTTTGTCTTTGTCAGAAACAAACAACAAAAATCGTGAACGTAATGGGGACAGAATCCCAACTGTTAGATGCCTCGAAGGGTCGATTTCGAAAGACATTGTCGTTTTCCAGTCAGATTTTTGACGCATCTTAATTGCCTTTGCTTCTAGTACTTTTCCAATAAAAATACTAACATCATTTTTAAGGAAGCGCAGACAAAGAGTAGGTATATAAAGAAAAATCTATCAATGGATTTTACACAGTTCATCATGATTTCGATAAGCGTTAAGTCTTTATACATTTTCATTTTCCTTACTTTAGCTGTAAACCGCAATGTCTTCTGCATCTCCCGCAGCGCGTTCGAAATCAATCAATGGGATACAAACTTGATACCCGATTCTTCGTATGGTAAGTAGATATATTGATATAAGTAGATATTTTATATAGTTAATTTATTAAATTGTGTTTGATAATAAAAAACAAAACGAAACAAAAAAGAAGAAGGGGTGGATGAATTTGACTCGACCAGAATCGTCGGTGGACAATTCGCAGTGCCAAATCAATTTCCATTTATGGCCGTGGTGCATCGATTGCTGGGCAATGGAATGACCTCGCAGTGCGGTGGAACGATTATTTCCTCAAGATGGGTGTTAACAGCAGGTCATTGCGTAGCATCTGGACCTAAACAATTTCTTGTTGTTTTTGGTATTTGCAACAAAACCGGGATAGAGTATAATTCTTATAACGGGCCTGGTGTAGCGATGTTAACGAACAAAGCTATACTTCACCCGAATTATCAAACAACCTTGAATGATATCGCACTACTGTACATGCCACGCAATATTCCATTCAGAGGTAAGATCCTCATCGAACAAAGAAGAAACGTGCCCAACAAGCAGATTCGTATGTAAAAATATGTTATGTCTATATTATTATTAAATCATTTTTTTAATTTTTAGCAAGCATTCAACCTATTAAGCTCGCAGGTTATAACTACCTGAAAAAATCATTCACTGGCAGAACAGGTGCGGTCATCGGATGGGGAAAAGACGGATCTTCCGGAGCTGGAACGAAAAGACTAAAGTACGCGCTTCTACCAATTATTTCGAATAAAGAATGCTCCCCGTATTGGGCTGTAACGGAGAAACACGTATGCACTTCAGCCTCATACCATCAAGACGCATGTCAGGTAAATAATCTTGTCATTTCCTCTTTTTTCGCAATTTTTTTGCTTAAAAATGCGGAACTTTATTGGTTTTACTGGAAATGCAGGGTGATAGCGGTGGCCCGTTGATCGTATTCAAAAATAATATCCCTCTTCAAATCGGAATCGTTAGCTATGGAGACGGATATTGTCCCAGTAATAAACCTGGCGTGTTCACCCGAGTCGTTACATTCATCGATTGGATTCAACAAGTTACCAAACTTCGCTTTTAAAAAAATCTTGTACTTATCATATTAGCGGTTTTACAAGAATAGTGGTGGATATTGTTATCTATCTGTTAACGATATTTTTATATATTTTGTGTATTATAAATAAAATTGGGTTATAGACAATTTTAGCCATTTGCAGTTTATAGCTACGTTTACGATGCTATCGAAATTTCCGGATCTTAACACGATTCAAAGGAAACCGATTACCAGATTCTTAAATTCACTAATAGCCGACATGAGTTGCCTCAAACGCAATCGACGCATTGTAAACCTCGTAAACGTTCCTAACTCATTTCGTAAAAAATCGGGCTTTTGAAAAAGAATATCTAACAGCAAGAAGATTTACACCTACATTTTCGACAACGAATGCGATGAGTCTCGCGAAGTATTGTCTTGTGAAGTACATACCGTCTCATAGAGTATTACCTTCAGAGATATTGTCTGAGAAGTATTTCTTTTTTACTAACAAATATTGTTTTGAGAAGTATTAATCTGTGTGCGACGAGTTGTGTTTAATCCATATAATCAGTAAATCACTGTATCTCACCTTATCAATTATATTTAGTTTAATCGTTTCACTTTTTGATTTCTAATAGTTGACTTGTAATAGTCTTTCGAAAATATCTCGAAACAAAAAACGTGTATAAATTAGAAATTAATATGTTTCCAATCTTTTTGTACCTATAAATATCTTTTGATTTAATGTATGTATGTAAGTTGGAAGCAACGCAAATTCAAATATCTAAAGGCGAACTGGTGGACGGTGTGCCGGCGGGTCTTTTGTTCTCAGAAAATATGCAAGGGATACACCTGGGCAGCTGCAAAACGGAGGGGAGATCCCTTTGCTGACTTGACTGCCCATGTGATATGTAGTTGGTGGGGTAGGGTCTCAACAGCATAGCTCCGGAGATTCTAAAGTACATATGTAGCATACGTTACATGTATACATATACATATGCCGACCAACCGACGAAGAATGCAGCTACATTTGGAAGATAGATATTCGTTTTCAGAGCAAAGGGCCTTGAATAAAACTCCTGCAAGATTTAAGATATTTTTAAGGACGTTCTGCTTTCTCTTGATCTTGTGATTTCCCTTTTCAGTTCAAATCTAATGAATTGTAGTGATATTTTAATAGTTTTTTCGCAGTCAATAATTAAAATCTCCTATGGTAATTCATTATCGGACGCTCCTCTTAAAAATTTCATTAAAAATTGAAAGAAGCAACGAAGATTATGCAGTAACATTTATTCCGTGTTTCAATGTACAATGTACATGTACTTTATAATCGATAGAATGTATGCAGTAATATCGTATTATTAATTTTGTTATCGTAGTATTAATCGTTTAAGGTATGTATTAGGCAATGAGAGGGAAATTGATTCTATATTAAGTTTCTTTGGATACATGTATGGTTCTATATAGCAAAAGTTTAACCAGACTTTCTAGTAACACATAAAACATCGTTTTTTTAATCCGAAATATATGTATAAGTATGTCGGTATGGCAAATTATTTATAATAAGTTAATACTTATTATAGATAAGTAAATATTATTTAATGTAAATAATTAATTGAATCTAGCGATGGTTCGTTATATGAGTAAAGAACCTTCTACGATGCTGCGCTTTTGAATATGCACTGTAAATGTTCGAAGGTACTGATATATATAATCTCTGCTTGAAACGTCGCGATATCTGATTGGCTGGTATGAAAGTGGTGGGGAATATACCTGTTCGAATGTATAAAAGCGCTCGCACTCGACGCGACACCACAGACGAATTTAGTAACCTTAGTGGTAACGTTAATATTGAAAGTGGTATTTGTCAGGACAAAATCTTTCACTAGTAACCAGTAAATTTTTCGATATGACTGGTCGTGGAAAGGGAGGAAAGGGATTGGGAAAGGGAGGAGCGAAGCGTCATAGAAAGGTACTTCGTGATAATATCCAAGGTATCACGAAACCAGCAATTCGTCGCTTGGCTCGTCGTGGTGGTGTTAAACGCATATCTGGCTTGATTTACGAGGAAACTCGTGGTGTCTTAAAAGTTTTCCTAGAAAACGTCATTCGTGATGCGGTTACATACACCGAGCACGCTAAACGGAAGACTGTAACGGCTATGGATGTCGTATACGCTCTGAAGAGACAAGGACGTACTCTTTATGGTTTTGGAGGTTAAAATGCAAAATCATTGTTTTGACATGCAATCAGCAAAACGGCCCTTTTCAGGGCCACAATTTTTTCCTAACATAAGAACACTCGTTGTACTTCATTTAGAATGTTTCCTGATACATATTTTTCAAATAAAATTGTCTTATGTATTTATAATTCCTGATTAATTTTGTTCATATGTTCAAATAATTTATGAAATAATTCGATACAATCTGTTTGTAGGTCTCATTTTTTTATTACTATTATTATATTATTATTTCTTTAGAAAGAACTACTGGCGCTGAAAAGGGCCGTTTGTGTTTGAAAAGTTAATTATGCTTTTCCTTTGGTAAAAGTTCGACTTGAATATCTGGCAGTACGTCTCACAGCGTTATTATTATTACAGAAAGTGATTTGTTGAGTTTTTTGTTATTACAAATATGTAGCTAGTTACAAATGATATGTATGTGTAATTTTTGTTTTCTTATTGTCGCGAGCAACATCAGCCAACTCCGTAAGAATCGTGCTTTGAATAGAAAGGACTATTTGGTTACAACGATAAGTTTGGTTAGGTCAGTGCGCAATCGAATTACAGCTTATTACCACGTGTATTTTTTATTACCAATTCGACTCGTTGGACTGACTATAAATGAAACAAATATGGCGTCCGAATAAAATCATACAATATGCATAAATTTCTCGGTACAAATATCAAATTTGCAATATATTATATTGCCGATTATTAATCCATCCGATAGCATTCACTGAGAATAGATATATTAAGGTTCGTCCTTGACAGCGAAACGAAAAGAACTGATCAGCAGTTCTTTAGCGAACAGCGAAGCTAGGGGAAACAAAGCATTTACAATGTAATATACACCCATTCACCAGAAAATCTAGCGCAAATCAACATCATTAAAACGACTGTGGGTTGGCGGGTACCATAATTATCTTTTCAAGGTCTCAAAGTCAAGAAAAAATGACGAAACAAACTGTGAACAACCTCCAGGCAAGCTAAAAGACAGAATAGAGAACCCTACTCCATAAGAGTGAACAGAAGATCTATATTACTAAAAGATCCAGACAGAATAGTAACCATACAAGTCCAAGGCCCAGAAACTGTGAGTATGGTGCTAACTCTCACACTAAACATACCAAACTTTAATCCATTCAAATTACTTAGAAACTGCTTCAACACTGAACACAATCCATTCCCAAAAAGCACACCTCCTTTCCTCATAAACTCAAACAAAACAAAAAACATGGAAACATACATAGATAATACAAACACAAAACACACATCATGTAAACCACCCTGATCCATTATTCTACATACACTCACAAAAAGATCTCCATAACACATAAGATGATGGCTTGTGAATCAAATGTTTTTTAAACCAGACTAAAATAACCTTTAGAAACACTCAGCAACATGACATTTTGTACCAAAAACAATATCCAATTCCATAATTACTCTTTACACACGAGAAGGCCATAACAATGTCCTTAAAAGGATTTCCTAAAATAGATCACCATGATATAATGACAGAACTCAAAAGCCATAATCTAAAGCCAACATCCTGTACCCAAATACAAAATGACCAATTCTCAAGCTACCCAATATACAAAATCATGTTCACTCCAGAAACCAATGTATTAGAAGTCAGGAAATTAGGAATCATATTTCACTCATGTATGCATTGGGAAAAATATGACTCCAAAATCCTTTCAAACAATACTTATACTACTAAGCACATGGACAAGTCAAATTACAATAAAAACCCCAATAGAAACCTTTGCAATAGACACAGAATAAGCACATATTTCATTAATTTGTAAAATATTGACTGCAAGATAGAAAAGCATACAATAAATCCATTTTCAAAACCAAAACATACATGTACACAATAACTTCTGATCATTCTCCGCACCAACTCATCAAGTCTAGAAATGGACAATAAGATTCCCAAAACACAAACTAGCCAGAAACATTCTCACCCAACAAATCAAAACAAGCAAAGTAGCACCACCAAATCTAAATCCTCAGCATAACAGATAACTCTCTAGAGAATGTATAACGCACTACACAATAACTACTTTTCAATACCTTCTCTAGAAACCGAGGCTGAATCAGTCTTTTCAAAGAAGGAGAAAGCTGAATTATTAGCCCCTATCTTCCACAATATACCAAGTATTCCCATACCAACTACTAGCAACACAAATAGCAACTCAAATTCAAAATGCAACATACCCTGTCAATTACAACTATATAATCCCAGTAATAGTTAAAAGATACATGAATATAAACACATAAAATATATAAAAGGATTAATACGCAGGACATTAAACAATAATCACAACAATCCACTAATAAACAAAATAGTACGATACGACATAAACGAAATTCCATTAAGAAATAGAAAAACTAACCAAAATTATCCAGAACCTTAGCCCCATTACAATAACCATTATGCTTATGGGTTTTGAAACTTTTATCCTATCACTACTGAAGTGAATGTACCTAATGTACCTAACCAATAAATTACAGCTTTAGAGCGGACATTAAGGCACACAACAGCCTCAGGTACCACATAAAAGCCACACGGTAAAAAATAAAAAAAATTTTTTTGATGTTAAAAGAAAAAGATTTTGAATTGTCAGATGGCAGTAGAAGCGCATTAAATATAGGGAGGGGTTAAAGAGCCGAGTGTTTCTTAGGTGCTGCATTCTGATTGGTGCGCTGCTGTTGGTCCGGCTCGTAATAAATATGATGAACCGGCTTGTGCAGTTCATTCACAGTAATACTTCGAGCGAGGAAGGTTCTATTCAATCGTTTGTCTTCATTCTAGTATAAAACTAAAATGTCCAGTCGTGGAAAAGGAGGGAAAACAAAGGCGAAGGGAAAGTCATCCCGTTCGTTGAAAGCGGGACTCCAATTTCCTGTTAGTCGTATCCATAGACTTCTGAGGAAAGGTAATTACGCCGAACGCGTGGGATCTGGTGCTCCTGTCTACCTGGCTGCAGTTATGGAATATTTGGCTGCCGAAGTTCTGGAATTGACTGGAAATGCAGCACGAGACAATAAAAAATCCAGAATCATACCCAGACATGTTCAGCTCGCCATCCGTAATGACGAGGAATTAAACAAATTACTATGTGGAGTCACCATCAGTCAAGGAGGTGTTTTGCCAAATATTCAAGCGGCACTTTTGCCAAGAAAGACAGAGAAGAAGGCATAAACAACAATACATCCAGAAAATGGTCCTTTTGAGGGCCGCAAATTATCTTCAAGACGAAGGATCTTTTCGGATTTTGCTTTGTTCTTTTAATCCTTCGGATTTACACAATTGCCACAATAATCATCGACAACCCACGTTACTAAATTTTGTAAAATGATCTTATATATATAAGTACTACAGATTGAATCTTTGGTAAGTTTGTCTGATAGACCAATGGATGTCTTTCATGTCCGTCGTAAAATGAAACGGACAGCTGTGTTTCATCTGGTACACGAAAGGCCCAAAGGGTGCTAAAAATTATAATAAAGAACATGAGTACTATGGGCCGTACTACAGGCCCTCATAATCGTATTGGAAAACTGTTCGTATTATTACCAGAAAAATATTTCATCATTGTTTTACATATTATTATTACGTTATATCATTATATTTACTATTTATTACCCGTACAATCATTTATGATCAATGTGATAAGAAACTTGTAAAAAATGCAGATGAAGTTGACGGTGATTTGGACTTGGAACTTTTTGACAAACTTATTATACAAGTTCGAAATGAATCCATTAATAATAGTATAATAAATAAACGTAAATCAATAATGCCGCCAAAAACTGGTGGGAAGGCAGTGAAGAAGGCTGGTAAAGCCCAGAAAAGTATTAATAAAGCTAACAAGATGAGACGCAGGAGGAAGGAAAGCTACGTTATTTACTATTTTATTATTTATAAAGTTTTGAACCAAGTGTATCCAGGTACTGGTATTTCTAGTAATGCCATGAGTATCGTGAACAGTTTTACAAATGATGTTTTTGAACGCATTGCAGCAGAAGCATCTCGCTTGGCGTACTACAATAAACGATCGACAATTACTTTTCGAAAAATTCAAACAGAAGTACGTTTGCTTCTTCCTGGAGTGTTGGCTAAGCATGCGGTTAGTGAAGGAACGCCGTTACGAAATACACCAGCTTAAAATAAACAAACGATTACTTTAACTACTGGCCCTTTTTAGGACCACAAATGTTTAACTTATCGTGAGAACTTATCCTTTCCTATATTTTCCGTTCATATGTATTTTTACCATTTTATAACCCACTCACAAATTATTATTGGATTCATTCAGAAAATGAGCCTTAATGAAGAAATCTTTTAAGAAATTTAGTTCGAAGGTATGTACAGGATACACGTATGTATATATACCAGTTTTAATATTAATTAAAATAAATTCCTAATGTTTTATATGCAAAAAATATATATACATCAAGTAACATGTTAAAGTCGCATAATTGTACACAAAGATAATTTATGACTTTTTGATTAGTGATTAGTGATTAGGTTTTGATTAGTGATAGCAATAGAGATTAATGATAGTATATATAAATGAAGTTGAAAATATTAACCATTTCAAGTAGTTTAATAAATTAGAAAATGGAAAGTCAATATCAAAAATGTTTACACGGTCCTGGCCAAGATTTTATATCCTTATGTTAATTATATTTCGATCTTGAAATATCGTAAACTAGTATTATAGAGAGGTCTAAGAAATAGCAAGTGTTTCTTTTCTCCATTGATAATACCCGATACGAAATATCGAATTTCTAAAACAAATTGTAAATGAAATAAACATGTTGGTCGTCGTTCTACAAAGCTGCTTACAAGAATTATTGAAATTAATGACACAACGCGACATTATTTTTCGAAATTTCGAAAATGTAAATAATAATTTTAAGTAATAATTATATAATAGTAAGTAATAATTTTTGTACTTAAAATTATAATTTTCAAATTAAAATCATAGTTCTTCAGGAATTTGTAATTAAAATTCGAGTTGATTTAATATCAACGTCAAATAATACAAATTTTCGAATTTATATTATTTATATTATTTCCAATTTATCGAGAATATGTAATATGAGGATAGATTTGGGCAACTTAAAATTGATGACTAGGTTAGGTTTTTTTATTATCGTGTAAAAAAATAAAAAAGATGAAAACGAATACTGTTGAAGTTGTTTAAGAGTTGTTCCTTATCAAATATGAATTTGTGGCCCTGAGAAGGGCCATTTATTTTTAGAATAAAATTTGAAAATTAAGGAATTATTTTTTTGCTGCCGATTTCACCGTTCTGGAAGCCGCAGCTTTCTTGGGTTTTGGGGTTCTTGTCTTAGCTGCTGGTGCTTTAGTTGTCTTTTTACTCTTTGATATAGCCTTAGATTCAGTTACAGATTTAACTTTTTCAACTTTCTCAGGTTTCTGAGCTGTTTTGACAGTAGATTTCTTCACAGCTGTCGATTTTTTAGCTTCTTCGGTTTTCTTTGGGGGATTCGACTTCTTCGGCGACACAGGTTTTCGGATCGGTGACGTTTTCTTCTCTACGGATTTCTTGGGTTTCTTCAGTTTCGATACTTTGACAGTTCGATGTATCTTCTTTGATTCGGAGCTCTTAATTGTAGACAGTTTAAATGATCCAGAAGCACCTTTACCTTTTGTCTGAACAACAGCGCCAGAGGTAACGGCTGACTTCAAATATCTTTTAATAAATGGTGCCAATTTCTCTCCATCAACCTTGTATGTCGATGCAATATATTTCTTAATTGCTTGAAGAGATGATCCCTTACGATCCTTTAATTCCTTAATGGCAGCGTTTACCATTTCAGAAGTTGGTGGATGCGAAGATTTTGGCCGCTGCGATTTTGTAGACTTCGGCTTCGCTGCCTTCTTCACTGAACTGGTGTTTTCCGCACTCTCCACAGAGCTATTCCCAGCTTTATCGTCCATTTTTCAATTATAGGTGCAAATAATCTCCTTGAGAAACCAAATGAAATGAAATGTTTCTCAGCAACAGATACCGAGCACAGTTAATACGTATACCGACAATGCCTACTGACGCACACTACCCCTGTATACGTTTGTGACTGCCGACCATAGAGAGTAGCCTACTGAATATGTTGAACGTTGAGTTTCTCGAAAAACGGTGAAGCGGTAAATAATCGGTTGAATTAATGCATGATTATTTAAAATAATGCATCGATCGAGGTACAATAAATGCATGAGTAAATTGCCACGTGTATCAGGTCTTATTCAACGGCTTTTATTTTTTGCTAAATATTATTTACTTTCATACACAGCCTGATTTTCGAACGAGTGTCTCTTCACGGCGTCAGGATAGCTTGTGGAAAAACAGTAAAAATCCTTTGATTATTGCAAAATTATCCGGTAATTTTCATTGTTAATCATTCTAATGGAACCAACGCTGCTGATTATCAAACATTTTCCGCGAAAATTCGATTAATAGTTGTGAAATTACAAGTTTAAAATAGACACTACCGAAATGCATAGTCTTCAAGAGAATGGACGACGAAGCCTGTCTTGATGTTTTATAACTCAATGATCTATGGTATAAAATTGATGTAATTTTAGATGAATCGTACATTGATACCATAGAATAATGGTAAAATGGTAAAAATTTATAAGAAAATTAATTGAATTAATTCAATACGTTTGTTTCGAATGTGATGCACAAAAGTCATAACCTCATTAGTATATAAAAAAACAAGTTATTTAATACCATTCATGCAGTATCAAGTCTGATTTTCATTTCTTTGCTAGAATCAAAATATATTTTGAAAAAAATATTAAATTCAGCTAGGTAAAGTTATTGTGGAAAAAAGAAATTTTATAAAAAGGAAAGCAATATACATATCGATGATGTGATGGTAACACGAGCTTGGTATTGCATGTGTGAACAATTTTTATTCTTATAAAAATCGCATTAGCTATTTAGAGTTTTAAAACACTTAACAATATAAATAACAATAAAACAAATAACAATATAAATCATGTGATGCAGACATAAAGATTGCATTATAAGATGGATACTAAGCATCTATTGCGCGTAAAAAATGGTTTCATGTCTTATTATAACAAAATTTTGAATTTCCCTTATATAAATTGTAATATATATGATTTCTATGATGTTTACAGTTATAATGTAGGTATATAACATAATTATTTTAACACAAAAGTGGTGCAAAATTATCAAAACATCTACTTATTTGAGATAAGAGTGTTGCTTGGTCGTTTAAAGTAGACATCTTGTTTTAACTATAATCTTTTATAGTCGTAAAGTAACATAATCCTTTATTAAGACAGCGAAATATCCTATTTACCCAATTATTGGTGTCACAGTATTTTGTAAAACAATAATCAGGTAACATGGAATTTATTTCGTTATTTTTTAGCCTTCGTCTCTTAAATTCAATTTTTTTTTTCTTAATGTGTATGTGTTCAAATTAGAAGAAAAGATCTGCATTTTTTATCATATAATTAATCAAATACTATTCACACATATGTATACATATATATATATATATATAAACATAATAAATGATATGTTCAGAAATGAAGTTATAAATAAAAGCAACATACTTTTACATAGGGTGCGCCAGTAGTTTAAGAAATTTCAACAATTTTAGTTGCTTTGTTACGAAAGAATATTATTTGACGAAATCATTCATCAAATAACATATGGTATTTTTTAATCATTGAAAACTTCGAAAAGAGTACTTTCATTTAGCGATAGCAACCCTAACTTTGAAGAAATTATTTATACTTAAGTTACACAACATAGAATATGTATACATATGCTTAAAGATAAATAATGGTTCATTCTTTTAATTTAGGCACAGTAATAGAACAGTTTATGTTAATACAGCAAGCTTTAACTTAAAATTGTTTACATTTAATCATATTTTATTGAAAAATTGATAAAAATAAAATTATATCTAATACACATATTAATTTGGTTAATTTTTTTGTAAATAAATTGCAATACATTTTTACTAAATTTTCACATTGAGGTTATGTCTCGACTGCATAAAAATTGCATTGAGTTTGGGTTTGAATACAATTCTTTGAATACATACACGTATATTTATAATAATTTGCATTTCAATGAATTCATTATATAATGTGAACATAAACTTGCGATATATGTTTCACTTGCATATCATGTGACAATTGTTTAATCTACAAAAAAATATGTACAAGTGAATTTATTGCCCTTTTACATTTAAGATTACATTTACGTAATTGAACGTAAAAATGAATTTGAAATAAATAAAGATCAACAGGATGGATTAGTCGAAGCATGGGTATCCTATGTAAGCGCGCGAAAATTTATGAGAACAGTGCGGTAATAGTAGTGACAAAACGTTTTGCAGCGGTCGGTCTCTTTGGGTGGGGAAAATCAATAAGAAAACCGAGGTTAAATCACGAGTATGGCTCATTAACGTTTAACGAATAAATCTTGTAGTAATATTTTTTAATATCGCGATATACATATGAATGTGTCTGTGTTTGTGAAATCTTTACACTGACGCTTTCAAAATGTGGCGTCTCTTGATGGACATGGAATTTGACTGAATATAGTGCGTACTCGGTTATCTTTAACAGCTGTGTTCAATAAGAGGAAAATGTTAAAAAACTATGAAATTGATGCTTCTTGACATCTAATTTGAGGAACGAGATATCGAGTTGCGCTTAACAATGTTAATACTTCGAGAAATTTTGTTAATTTACTTTACATTGTGTATCATATCACAAATCAACTATGTTAAAAGTACACATATTTCGGGTACCTTTAATACAAAGGAATTCTTCCGTTTTCTCATAAAATTCGGTTTTCAAAAAACTGATCGTCATCGTCAAAAAGATTCAGTTGGATATATTTTCGGCAATGTAACGTCGAAAAGCAACTTTTCTGCTCCAATAACATTGGCAGTTTTAGATCGTGGTTATTTTTTAGAATATTATGGTAATCGTACATTAAGAGACAAAAACACTGCTTGTACTCTTATGTTTAACACTTTGAATCAAAGTTCTTACGATATGCATTGTAATGAAAAAGGACAAGACTTTTTGAGGTAAGTCGTTTTTCTAAATTCTGTTTTATAATTCTTCAAAGTAACATTAGAAACTTCAATTACTTAATGTCTTTTTTTATGAAGGAGAATACCTTGCCAAAAAGGTAAATTATGTCCAGATGAAGATTCCATATGGAACATTGTAAAGGGATATCAATTTACATATGTTATACAAGATTTTTGGCAGCCACGTTTTTGGTATATGAGTCTAGTGGCATGTTACAGAAATACAACTACTTGTCAGTGGGAATACTATGATAAACATGATGAATTAGAATATGATATTTGGCTAGTAAATGGAAATCCAAATACTAGTGGCCTAAATAGCTTAACATATCAGTTTTCATATGATAGACAGAATACTATAGAATTGTACTTGCTGTTTTTTATGTGTTACATTATACTTGTGCCACTACAATTATATGCTGTAAGATTACAAAAGCATCCTGTAACAAGATTATTCACAGCTAGTTTATTATTAGAGTTTATAGCAGTGTGTTTAATTTTGATACACGTGTTGAAATTTGCTCTTGATGGAGTCGGATATGAACAATTAGAAGTTGCTGGAGATATTTTTGATATTTTATCAAGAGTGAGTTTTAATAAATAATTTTTGTCCTCTTTATTATTTATAATCAAATAACATATAATACTTTAATTTTACATAATTATTTTTATGTGGTTTAGACATCATTCATGTTACTTCTTCTCCTACTTGCTAAAGGATGGGCTGTAACTAGAATGGAATTGACATGGAAGCCATTGGTCTTTACTATATGGCTTTGTTATGGAGTAGTTCATATTCTCTTATATGTGTGGAACATGGTATGCTTCTATTCATACATATTTCCTTCTGTGAAAATGAAATTTCAATTAAGTACAAAGATAATATTTTTAGACTGAGGTTGATATTATTGAAGATATTGATGAGTATCAAACATGGCCAGGCTGGTTTATACTTTTATTTCGTAGTGCAATAATGATTTGGTTTTTATGTGAACTTAGAAACACTATGACATATGAACATAATACTCAGAAATTAAATTTTCTACTACATTTTGGTGCATCTTCATTGGTTTGGTTTATTTACTTACCTATTATAGCACTTATTGCCCTTCAAGTAAGTGCATTGTGGAGGTTTAAACTTCTATTGGGTAAGTACATCATAAAATTTTGAATATAACACCATTTTTACCTGCGAACTTTATGGTTATAGGTATTACATACTCTGCTGATTGTTTTGCATATTGTGTAATGGCACATTTACTTTGGCCAACTCGAAGTGAACAATATTTTTTACTTGCACAAGGAGCAGATAATGGGGATGAACTTGATGAATTTAATGAAGCGCCACATGTATTGAATAATTATGTAGAACCTCCAGAACTTACTAAAATAATTACTTAATGTCAAGGCACAAAAGGCAAAGAATTACAGATATGAAAACTCAAACTTATAGTTTGATACATACTGTTTGCCAAATAACAAAAATTTTATAGAATTGATAATACTCTGCTATATACTTGAGACTGATATATTCTGAACAATGTGTAATTAGAGATATACTAATAATCAAATTTACATTTGTGATAGGAAGCTAATAATTGATACAATGAAGAATAAAAAAAATTGGTGAGTATGATATGAGTATCTTTAAATAATTTTTTATTTAGGAAAAATATAGACATATGATTGAGTTGTATCAGTTTGTAGATATAAATAGATGTTGTTATCTTCTATGCAAGGTGTTTGCTAAAAGATGGTACAAAATTTAAAGGGTACTTCTAAAAGTCAAAGTAAGACAAAAATAAAGAATAGAAATCAACTAAAATAGCTACAGTAAAGTTCTTTACATGAATGTGGATGGATGGAAGTGGTGCTATGATATATGCGCAATACAGAGAGAATATACACATATCAAAACAAACGAAAAATAACTATTACACACAGTAATATTTATATATACACGGGTATACACGGAATAAAAAGTGAGAAAGCAAGAACAACTAAAGGTAGAACAACTACAGAGAAATAAATTAAATCGACATTAGTACTACAAGTTATTAACTACGAATTAATATATAAATAAAAAGGAGATTTTAAGTTACTACGTCAAATAGTTTTTCCAACGTTCCGGTTTCGTTGTTACAATAATTCTGTCGTTCTGAAATTATTCTAAGTAAGAAACGGTGACGATATCTTAGAGGTCGTTTTCAAATGAAAATATGATCATTATGGAACATACATACTGTTTACTAAATATGTTTAAAGAACGTTTATCATCTCTAGATCAAAGATCAGAACAATAGACACAGACTTGCATTGGTGGCTTGAAGTTACCATCACCTTGCCAAGCTTTCACAATATTTTTATTGTTTTTTACACGTCAGTAACTAATTCAATTAGTTGCAAATGCAATTTTCTATTTTTCACTTTCGTTTTATTTTAACTTGTAGAAATACCCTTTAAAATGTTTACCATATTTTACAAAACATTCTGTATAACTTTTATGCTACTGTATATAATAATAATTAGCTATCAGTATCTAATATCTAAGGGATTACATGTTATTTATAATGGTACTTATATATGTATAGTCTTTATTCATATTTTTTACTATTTACAATACTAGTAAATACAATCCTGTAATGTCAAATTTCAACTTTAGATTGCTCATGTCATACTCTTTGATCATAAGAATTTAACACCAAGTACTAATTTAATTCTTAATACTTCATCCATCACTATTTATTAATTATATGTGAAAATTTCAATGAGGTAATCATACACAGTTGTATTTGTAAAACATTTATGTCTCAGTTTATTCCTAATTCCACATTCTGTACTTATGTATATTTGCTCTGTATGAAAACTGTTCCATTGCACATTTTAGAAAAGTATGAAAGCTGAAAATAAATTAATTGACTGTCTTTATGTTTATTTTATTAGTATATATTTGTAAAAACATGTATGATTCTAATGTACATAAATGAAATTATTCATCACTATATTATACATAAGGTACTCATAAAAAGTATTCTATATGCATTAATAATTTTTTCAGTATTATATTGCAGTAAATACTGTGTTAAAATTTGAACCAATAGGATTATCATAAATATATCTTTTATATGTATTTTAATAATGGCTGTTATCGTCTTAATATATTTTTTGGTCTATAACTATACTTTTACTTTTTCTTTTAAATAAATAGCACTACAAAACATTCAAATATATGTTATTTGAAACATATAAAACTGTGATGCTTTATGTGAGAGTTTCATTCATTAACATTTATTTATGCTCTTATAGGCAACTATAACTTTTTTGCTCAATCTTGTAACAAATCAAGTATTAAAGTAATAAAATATTTACCTGGTATACTTATAAATTGTGTGCATGTATTCTGCAAGATATAATAATACAATAATTCAAATATATTAATACTTATAAAAATAAATTATTACAATACAGAAAACTAAAACTATAACATTTTCTTTAGATTCATTCATAAAAATCTCACACTCAAGAAAATGTAAATAAAATAATTCTAAAAAAATTGTTCATGCATAGCAGTGCTTTTTTATTTTATAAAGAGGATCAAAATATTTGATATTCATAGGATATGTACAAATGTTTATTCTATTTTTAAAATATTGCTGAAAGTTTGTAAATTAATGTATGTGAATCAATTTTGAAAATATGTACCTATTATTCCTAGATTGGTAATTTCAAAAGTAAAAGACAAATGTGCAAATTATGCTGGCATAAGCTTGCATGCAAGATTGTATGTTATTATATTATAAAAAAATAGAGCGATAACTAAACATGTTCTAATTAAAAATATTCTGTATGTATATCTTTTAATACATAGAGTTTTTAACAACTACATTTTGTTGATATCCTCTTGTATGAAAGCTACGTAGAAAAACAAAGCATTAATAATTAATAAAGTATTAATTAAAACATAAAAGTTTCAAATCAATTATAGATTTATTTAGACAATGCCAACTAATTATTTCTTTATATACTTTTAACAATAATAATCTTACTCAAATTTATAATAGCCTTAATTGTGAAGTGAGATTGTCTATTACTTGCTTTGGACCAGGCCCAATTCCAACAGTAGATGTTGTACCAGGTTTTAATTGAGTTTTACCTGCATCTTTTATTATAGAAATTATTAAACCAGCTTTACGAGCATCACTAGCCAATGACATTAACTTCTCTTTATCAGATATCTGTAATACAATTTTAGGTTGACCTTGTAATAACCAAGATGCATATATTTGCTGATATTCTTCATTAGCTGATATTTGACGACAACACTCTACTGCAGCATGGGCACATTGTGCAGCAATTTTTCCCTTTCCCATGGTAATGTCTGATCTTACAACTAGCGCCATTTTATAATGTTCACTTTTTGAATATTTTATAGGATAAGTAAACAAACGTTTTACATAATTCATTAACGACATGTTTATTTATTTAAGTATGACTTTTCTCTTTCTTTTTGATATTTGTCCATACACACTTTGAATCTTTTTACTTGCTCTTGACACTTTCTCCAATCTTGAGTTTCTACTATACACTCCTAAAAATGTAATAAAAAATTAATAATATTTTTACATTATATGATTTCATAATTGCACATATAATATGTGTATATGTAATAATATAATAACAAAGTTAATACTTGAACTTCATAATGCAATTCCATACAACCAGTTTTTTTTAACATTTCTTCAACCGGGTCGTCAACATTTTGTTGATGTGTATTTAAATTTGGAATCATTTTACGTTTAAGTTACACGCATAATATTAAGTTTTGTGGTTATAATAGTAAAGTTTAAAGGTTATTTTTCATGTATTCGCTATACTTTAATACAACTACGCTATTTTATAATTAGTTTAGTAGTAGTAGAGATAGCAGATTGTAGAGCACCATCATATAAACAGGTCTCAACCTGGAGTAGGGAAAATCGTCTGAAAATTGAGTCACGTCTAGTCGTGAAAAATCACATGGATGGTCTACAAAGTTCATGTTCTTGAGGTAGACAGATATGGGTACAGCATCTTTATCTTTTTTTAAGCGTTCATACCATGTCACGCATGCGCAGAATGCAAACCTTCCTGTTTTTCATGTTGATATTTCACAACTAGCCATAATTCAATTTTGAGATAATTTTCCCTAGGCATCAATATATAAGTGTTTCATATGTGAAACCTATCTTCTATAAAACCTGTTTATATAATCGTGGTTTAGAGTTCTGTGTATATGATTTTATTTGCAAATGTTGAAACTTTTAGCCAAATGCAAGTTTATTTTTATGATTGTATTTGTTCTATCAGAAATAACCAATCAGACTCCTCTTTCGTATGCCATGTTATGTGACAACTTACTAATTTTATATAATATAAAACAATAGAGAACATAAATCTGGTAATACTGACAAGATTGTAAGGTTGCCCTCATGTAAACATAACCTTATCAATACAATTTCCCTGACTATGAAATGCTTGTGTGATAATATGTGCTGCCATGCTAAATGACAATAAATAATAGATAATATAATGACCTAGATTTGTTTCTTATTTATATCTTTTTTATTTTAATTTTTTCACAGTAATTTAGTAGCTCATATATTTTTACATTAATATGTCCTATTTTTATTCCGAATATTTATATCTTATTTCTACTTTATTACAATTATGGTATCTATGTATAATTATAAAAAAATAAAGCGTATTCACATCAATTTTTCGAGGAAAACATTAATCACAATCCGTCTATGCGTTCTAATACAATATTTCAAACATCGGAAATAGAATTTCAGTTGTGTAAATACAGTGTTACCACGTTGAACATCGCCATTTATTGCGCTACCTTCAACACATAGCTGCTACTAGTGTCTTGAGTTCTCCACCAGACGACAACAAGCTATGGCATAGTAGAGTAGGCAATATGACAAGTAATATGTTCTATTACGTGTGCCGCCAATATTCTTTGATTTTTATTTCCTATTACCTATCAGCCAGATATGCGTTAAATTAGAAAACGTGTCGATGATCGTGTATTACTGATCATACCTGCGTTCACACTGGGGCGTTAAGTGTTCTTCTGCCGGTTGTCAACTGTAACATTTTCGTAAGTATTTAACGCGTTTTTCTTATTGTGATGACTTCAACAACTTTCCTTTTCTTACGAATATAATCACTAGTCACGAGAAACTGTTCAATAAAGATGTTTCATTTATAATTCGTGTTTTTTTTCATTGTTGTAATTCGCAAGATGATATAACAATCCCATAATTCCATAGCACGTGGGTGACGTACGTAAAATAGTTATATATGAATATATTAAAACGAGATGTTACTATATTTCATTGATTTATACATAGAGATATACTTATGCACAAAAGCTTTCATATTTGAGTCAATTTTATGGGTAATTGCTGCATGACAAGATATTGGAAAAAAGAAAAATGTAGTGTACAATCATTTTGCAAAAGCAAACTTGCGTGATTATACTTGACTTCTGTATTTTATACATCACTACGTATCGCAGTATATTTTAATATCGGTTCCGTCCGTTAAAGATCGAGTTACATCACATATTAGAAAATGAATTAGTTTTACATATGTAAGTACATGCTAAAAGACAGGCACCAAATATAATCGGTAATGCGGTTAAATAAGGTTGCAAGTATTTTAATTTAGACAAGTTATTTTAATCAATCACACTACAATTATCGGATGAATAATTCGTTTTTTATAATATCATAACTTGTATCCAATTTTTATAAAGAAATGTATTTAAATTCTATTTTGAATTAAATCTTCTATTTCAATAAGAATTGTTTAAAAACGAACATATGTATGGGTAACGTAAAATCGGTCAGTAATTTTTATATAATGTAATAGTGACATTATGTGCACGTTGATGGTAATTTGCTTGTTTATACCATCGTAAATAGTTTTTTGTATTTTCGCGCCAAGTAATACAGCGACTTGTGAATAATAGCAGAAGCTTTAGTTCTCATTTTGCCACTAGGTGGCTACGATTGCCTGTTGTATTCTCGTTAGTGTCCGATTTTGCGTTCAGTTTATATATAAGAGTAAGATGTTAAAGCTACTGTTGGATAGTCAGATGCTTCCCGGGTACGATCAGCGCATATTGGGGCCATTTTACAAGACCACATTATGTGTCCGGTACTTTATGGTTAAAACCTTATGAACGTATCACAAAAATTTGCTTGCTTAACTCATGTAAAACTATCACCGTGGAAGCGTTATATATAGACTATCTTTTGCCATTTGTATATAAGTAACTGTGTTTTATTATTTTTCGACGTCTAGGTATTAAATTTTGTTTTTCTAATACTTTATGGTTAAAACCTTATGAACGTTTAAAGCTACTGTTGGATAGTCAGATGCTTCCCGGGTACGATCAGCGCATATTGGGGCCATTTTACAAGACCACATTATGTGTCCGGTACTTTATGGTTAAAACCTTATGAACGTATCACAAAAATTTGCTTGCTTAACTCATGTAAAACTATCACCGTGGAAGCGTTATATATAGACTATCTTTTGCCATTTGTATATAAGTAACTGTGTTTTATTATTTTTCGACGTCTAGGTATTAAATTTTGTTTTTCTAATATTCTTTATCGTTTCATTGCGTCTTTTATATAAATTGTAGTATTAACTTTTACTTGTCGGAGTCTACATTTTGAACAGTATTTGTTATGTTAAACTTTTATTCACACAGCAGCAGTAGCATTATTTTGATTCTATTACTCTGGTTTGCTTTACGATGCATTTTATTGCATACCTATATGTATATATATACATATATATAGACATCTATTTATATCTACGTATTTGCGATTTTATTTTATATATTGACAATTAGATAATTATTAAATGAAGCTACAATCACAATTGTGCCACAAGAATGTTTAACGAATGCTTATATCCGTGATTCTTGAATCAGATTAAGACTGATTGAGTCAATTCTTTATTACTATAACTATACAAAATTGAACATCACTGATGGAGAAACCGAAACGAGGCCATGCGAGTAGCGATCAGTTAGTTTTGATATGAATGGATCAGTTGAAAAGCGCGGGAATTCATGAAAATGTTAATAACAGCGGATAATCTGCAATGGTAATAGGGGACGTGTGAATTACGAGAAAGCGGGTGGGATCGAACGATAGACAGTTAATTTTAGAATGTCGCTGTTGCTGCTGACGATAACCGCGACAAATGGACAAGTATCTTTCGAAACATAGAGAGAGAGAGAGAGAGAGTGAGAGAAACGAGAAGGAACGTAACTTGGAACGGTACGTAATAAGTTTTGTGATGAGACGAAGCAAGAGGTAAGGAAAGCAGAAGGCGAACGAACAAAAGCACCGGTGGTTCGCGCGTATTCTCGTGGTCGAAGTGCGTCCGATGCATCGGGAAGATGTGCTAATAAACACGATTTTAATAAATGACCTTCGCTTTTTTTCTAGTCGGAGAACTGTGTTCGAATCATTTGACTCTGACCGTGGTGGTGGGCACAAAAAGTCAACAGTGCAAACATTCTTCTGTTTCGCGAAGAATTAGCACGCGTGCTGCTTCCACTAAATTATTGATCTATCGATCATGGAGGAAGAAATTGTGAATGGGATTGCAAATAAAAACGGGAATTCAGAAGTGGACGAAGAAATGAAACAGAACGAAGATGGGACGTTCGACGTATCGAGCTACCCGGAGCTAGACCGCTCGCAAACCGGTCGCAGAACAAGTATCTTCAAGTATTACTCGTTCAACAAGAAAGGTGAGTCCGGCCGATTTGTCTTCGATAAAATTGTAACATATAAAAAGGAATCGTTACATCGTTGTCAGTTTTGGAAAATTAGAAAAGAAAGCCATCCTGCAAGTCGTTGCAGGTTGTAACATCGATGCAGCATTCGATCGATGATTTTTCTTGTGCTCGTCCAGTTGTCGAATTCCTTGTAAGTTAATCCTTTTTATCGGGAATTATATGTGGAGCCAGAGTTCTTATCAGACATATCCGATAATAAACGATAGAGAAACGTCGATCTTCGAACCGTCGATATTGTTTGGAATTCAAAAATTGGGAGATATAAATAGAAATATTAGATAAGGTAAAAAATGAGAAATTCGAATCTGTCGAAGAAAACGTGATAATATATGCACTTATGATCATACAGTGCATTAGTAGTTTGTTTAAAAATGTAAGAATACAGTATAATTGAGATATAAATATATTTATGCGCGCGTGCATAGCGGATAGGAACGATTGATAGAAAGAATGTTCAATTTAACGCGCGCTTATGATTTTGATTACATTCTCAGACCGATCGCCTTTAACGTCGTAAATGAGGTTATTTAAATTTCCAAACTTCATTATTATTATTTGGGTTAGTTATTGGTAGTGTTCAAAGAATGATAAATATATTTGTATTTAAACACGATGGATGGAGTTTTGCAATCGGAACAAGGAGCATTGGCATTGTGTATGCAACGATAGGTGATGCATAACGTGTCGCGCGAAGTTTCACGAGATTGACAGTCTCGTATCTTGCCGATTCTTCTGCCAAAGTATGTGTCAAACACTCTCTAATTGCGTATGGACGTTTTGAAGGCAAACGTAATCAAATCAGTTATTTAAGGTAGGTCGCGATCATACAAAAAATAGTTTTTGGCTTCCGAAACGGGAAATTTATATAAACTACTATCTATATTATTTATTTCTACTTATATACTATACTATTTATATAACAACTATCATCTATATAAATGATGTTATATAAAGTACATATTCGTTAACGTTGAGCAACAGGGAACTTGAATCATAGAGAAAGATGTATTTACGTCCCAGTCGCAGTACATTAAGCAAAGAACGACATCTTCAAATTTCGAGCATGACCCAAATTAAAAATGCGAAAGTATTTCTTCAGTAACGATTTTATTCTGCACAATGAGACGGGCCTCATTTCCTCAGGGCTCTCGTTCACTTCTTCCCATTGAAGAACAAAATCGATAGCATAACTCGGTCGAAAGCCTAAACCTGTTCGCAGACAGATGCAGACAGGCAAAAATGCACGTTTATAGCAGCAGTAGTGTGTTATGCAACATCGTGTAGACAGTTCAGGACAAAATATTTTGTACGACGCATCGTCGTTTGTAAATGTGAGCGAACCTCTGCGGCTGGGCAATCTAGCCCATTTTTATCACGATGCATTCGGGTTGAAAGATGATACGTTTCGAGCCCGCGTGTGCATCTCGGGTTATCGTTATCTATATATCTGTATAGATGAGCGCTGTAGGCTCTCGATGCACCGAGATCGCATGTTATACGTGCCTTAAATTGGAGCAAGTCTGCAGGAGAATTGTAGGAGACCTAGTTACCTTGGTCGTTCGACACGGTTTACTTTTGTCTTGGTAGGAGAACAAAATTGGGTCGGAAATTTTAATTCGTATAATATGGAGCAAATTTGCGATTTAAGAAAGTATGGATGGCGGTATATGGCATATTGAGCGCAGTTATGGTGGAAGGTAGATCGAGAGTCCATTGCGATAGGAAGGTATAAGAGTGTGTTTCGGTGTCTACCAGTCTCCGATTTGTTAGTAAAACTATCTAGAGTGGTTCCAGATGGATCGTCCAGGATAGTGGAAGACAGGTCAGAAGGTGTTTTTGTAAAGGGATAATGGTTAAAGTCTTTCGAGCAATCGCATTTTTAGTGTCCCTCTGGTGGAGGGTACAGGATTTAATAGTGGCCTTTTGAAAAGGCATATGATGTTGAAGTTATGTTGTAATTATATTGTCGAATCAATGCGACGTCGAGGAAAAATTAGTACGATTAGAACGAATGAAGTTAATTAAACAACGTTGATAATGATGCTACTGGTTGCTTGTGCACGTCTCGATATTTTTATAATTACAAAACTGTATAATATTTGCATAAACAAGCGATTTACATAACAGCAAAGTAAATGAACAAAAAAGACGACAAAAATTCCATATGTCATTTCACTAACGTGTTGTTTATATAGTTTTGATTTTTCCTTCAATTAATTTTTATCCGACAAATTCTTTTTCTCGCCACCCATTTGCTCACCTATCGCGAGGAAGTTTTATCTGTAGAAGAATTCCATTATCGCTTCTTCACGATCTTCCTTATAGATTTACAAAGAACAGCCGCCTGAAACATCGAGACAATCGAAAAAACAGTTTAAAGTTCATATACTGAAGCACAGTATATATATGCACATAGTAGCGATAGAACCGGAAGTTCACAGGCGAATTATTTCATCGCTCGATATAAATTTCGTAAGGGGTACCAACCGCATTTAATAATTTTATTAATTACCTCAATATATTTCGTTAACGTATCGAAGCGCTTTTCAGTATTTTTGTAACAGGTACGTATCTTAAATTTTGCAAAGTGGAGAACAGGTCAAGAGCAGGAAGAGGTAATTAGCCTTCAGCGACAATGAAATCATGCCTCTTCCGTATTGCTCTATTCCGATTTAAAAAGTCGCAACGATACTCACACGCTCACTCCCGCTCCTCTCGTACTACGCGATGCGACGGGGAGAATCTTCCGTGAAATTTTCATTGAATTCCTGTAAAGATTTTTGTAAAGTGGGAAAAACGATATTAGATTTTTTCATCGAGAGATTTCGTGATGTGTAATTGAAGGTGTCGAGATAATAAAGTCGACCGAAAAGTGTTTTTATCTTTAATCAGTAAGCGTTTTAATCTTACATTACATCGGTACAAGGAAGGCTAGACTCGGTGGAGAAAATTGAACTTAGAACTATTGCAACAGACTTCGGTTTATCTTACATTGGTGACTAAGATCTACGATTTAGACTAAATAAAAAACAATTGATTGGTGAACGATCGAAGAATAGTCCATATGAATTCTGTTTAAAATTGGCAAGCCTACGTTCGTACATATATGTGTATAAATGGTATGGAAAATCTGAAGGAAAACAGGTTTTTACAATTGTATAACGATTTAACGAACAATATAGCATAGCATTAGATAAATTTAATGACATAAACTCGATATACGAAGATTACCAAATACTTTGCAAATACGTTGGAAGATTAATAACCGCGTTATTGACTAAGAGAAATCTTTTGAGGATTTTCTCGCATATCACGTATCAAGTTGGTTTCTAATTTTACTACTATCGTTTCAACCTACTCACGGGTTATCAAAGGACATAATGAAGCATGATAAAAGAGCATATCATTTATTATGTTATTAATCCTTCTCTTTGTGTAACAGAATTACGACGGAATCGTTAAATCAGATTGCAAGTAACACCGTTTGAATAAAATTGTGAGACGTGCATTGCACATGGCATGTTCACCTTTTTCCTTTTACTTTACAATTCAAAACTGTGTTTGCCAGATCTTGTAAACGTCACGCTGTAATAATATTACGTTTGCTTTTTAGATACAATGCCAAACTTGACGAAGAAATCGGGCCCTCTTATCGGAGTAATTGATGTTGGCACACGGACCGTTCGCTTTGTGGTGAGACATTTTTACAGTACAGTGTATAGTTATTCGACGTTGACTTTATTTGAGTTGATGTTTCATGTAGTATCCTTTTACTATCAGCTATTCTTGACAGAAATCATTTAAACTGGAATAGTACTTCTTACACTATAACTTTTTTAATTTGGATTGTAACAACCGTTATGATCCATGCTATGAATGTATACATTGCTCGAGTATATAGAGTTGTTAACATTAATGGTTTACTAATTGAATCTATACCTTTCGTAAATAAGAGGAACATAAAATGGAAATAAAACAGAATTGCGTTGCAGGTGTTCAATGCAAAACACATAGCTGAAGTGGCATCTCATCAAATCGACATAGAACAAATAAGTCCGCAAGAAGGATGGATGGAACAGGATCCGAGAGAGATTCTTTTTGCGGTAAAGACGTGCATCAAAGATGTTGTTCGGAAATTGGATGTGCTTGGATTGAAGATAAACGAAATAATAACGATCGGTATTACAAATCAAAGAGAAACCACATTGGCGTGGGATTCAACGACCGGTGAACCGTTATATAATGCGATAGGTGTGTCTTGATAATCATAATGTAATATATACATAATATAATATCATAATATAATATAATATAATGCTTATTAATTCTTCTACTATTCCAGTGTGGTCTGATATCAGAACGAATCCGATCGTCGATCAGATAATAGCCAAGTTTCCGGATCAAAGTAAAAATCATATCAAACCACTATGCGGTTTACCAGTGAGCCCGTATTTTTCGGCACTAAAAATTCGTTGGATGAAAGATAACGTGCCCACTGTTAGAAAAGCGATGCGAGATAAGCGATGCAAAGTGGGCACGATGGACACCTGGATCGTTTGGGTATGTGAGTACTGTACGTTTGAACGTAGAGCTTGTCTAGGATTCGAAAACAATTATTATACCTTACAGCAAAAGGAATGATAGATGATGACATTCATGATCCAGAGAATTCATTGAAAAATGGTTACAGAATTTAACGGGTGGCAAAGATGGTGGATTGTATATTACTGACGTAACTAATGCGTCGAGGACCATGTTAATGAACATAGAGACCCTCTCATGGGATCCCACGTTATGCAGATATTTCGACATTCCTATGCAAATATTGCCAGAGATTAAAAGCAGCGCTGAAATTTACGGAAGTATTGCGATTGGTCCATTGAAGGGTATTACTATATCTGGTGTAAGTTATGTTTCTACAGACATTTGAAAAAATTGATGTATGTGTCAGACATATAAGACTCTTCATATTTTTAGATTTTAGGAAATCAGCAATCAGCGTTAGTTGGACAAAATTGTTTAAAGAAAGGACAAGCGAAAAATACATATAGAGGTGGATGTTTTCTGCTCTGCAATACAGGAACGACAGTATGTAATATAGATAGATAATATAGTGTGATTCGTTCCAGTATTTGATTAGGAATTATAAACTGTTACAATTTTTAGCGTGTGCATTCTTCTCATGGATTAGTTACAACAGTGGCATATCAATTGGGTCCAAATAGTCCAGCTATTTATGCGCTGGAAGGTTCAGTTGCAGTAGCAGGTGCTGCTATTAAATGGTTGCGAGATAATATGAAACTTATAAAGGATGTTCACGAAAGCGAACATTTGGCTCAAAGTGTTTTCAGTACTGGCGACGTATATTTTGTACCAGCTTTTACAGGACTGTACGCTCCATATTGGAGAAAAGATGCGAGGGGGTAAGTACAACTTTATGAAGTCTTGCTACATATAAAATCGATATACATATCGTTTACTTAAAAATATTTTTACAGAATTATTTGTGGTCTTACTGCATTTACAACGAAACAGCATATAATAAGAGCATCATTAGAAGCTGTTTGTTTCCAAACTAGAGATATTTTAGAAGCTATGTACAAAGATTGTGGTTTTCCATTGACTAAGTTAAATACGGATGGAAAAATGTCAACGAATAATCTTCTTATGCAATTGCAAGCAGATCTTTGCGGTACGCCAGTATGTAAGTACACCTTATTAAGTATTACCAGAAATAAATAAACGTATGCATTAATGTTTGTACTTATTGGCAGTCAGATCAACGATGCCGGATATCACGGCGTTAGGTGCTGCAATGGCTGCAGGGCATGCAGAAGGTATAGATGTTTGGGAATTAGAAGGTGAAGAGATAGAAAGAGTGCCCAGTGATACATTTTTACCAACGACCACACCAGAAGGTAAAAAACTTTCAAATTTAATAACATCCATATTTTATCTTTTACGAAATGTTTTTCTTCTTTCTATAGAGAGAGATGCTAGGTATACAAAATGGAAAATGGCAGTTGAAAGAAGTTTAGGTTGGGCGGCAGTAAAGAGATCTGACCAAATGACAGGTAAATTTTATAATATCGAGCAAGTAAGATCTGAGATTTTAGGTACATTTAAAGCTATATTCCTCACTTTCCGCCGTAATTTAATTCGTTATCGAATTCCTATCCTTCACCTGCATGCGCTTATTGTGAATGTATCATGCTCATAAATAAAAAGAGTCGGTGTATGTTTGATGGCAATGGGTTTTCCCTGTAAAATGCTAAAATTAATTTAATTTGTATTAGATTGTCTAATAACTACTTGATACTATGGAATGGTTTGTTAACATTTACCTTAAATCCTTGTCCCAGACTTCTGTTTATAAATAAATATATGACCTCGAATATCTTGTTGTTGTTTATAAGCGTACGTATATCTATGTATGAGTGAAATCATGTGAGAGCCTGTGGTTTCGTAACTTAATTCAAAATCAACAATTGAATTTTATATGAAAGCTCTAATTAATTGTTGGGAATCTTCGGGAAATTTTAATGTGTTTGCTTATTTAATGTTCCAGACGAAAGATATTACGTATTGGCATCGGTCCCTGCAAGTTGGTTCTTAATGACAAGCTTTATTTTGTTACGATTAAGTTATTATTTGAAAAATCGGTGACAACATTCATATTGTTACAATGGAGGATCACTTAGATAGCAGATAGCCTATATTGTATTACAAATGCAAATAGGAGTATGATTACCAAGCTTTAATTATAAATAGTAGATCAAAATATGACCATCAGTAACCGATTAAAAAACAAAAAAGTAATACAGGTAAAGACAGCTTTGATTCAATTGAGTAGAACTACCTATACTTTCAAACTTTGCCAAAAGAAATCAATATAGTTAATTAAATGAAGCGCGACACAGTAAATAGCTACCAAGTTATTCGGAATTTCAGAGAAGAAAGTACTAGAAACAATGCACATATACAATAATTTAAACAATCCATTTATTCGTTATTTTTTATTTGTTGTTGATACAAGATAACGTGATATTTCTCGAACCATTACTGCCAAGTTAACAGACACAGGGCTATAGTTTTGTATAGTTTTGTAGGATTGTAAGCGTTCGTAATATTTTAAGATTTACAATTAATTAAATTTTTATAATTTCAACTATTTCCGTCGCTTTATTTTGTACGTTTAATTTATTTGTTATATCAACAAAAAATCCTGTATGTATAATGTTACAACTATTGTATCATAAAATCAAACACTGGAAATACACGTTCGTCTTGTTTTACCACTGTGTTTATTTTTTCAATTTTGACACTCAATCAAGCGATTAATAAAAAAATAAGAGATGTAATCTGGAAAAGTCGTCAGTGTTTAAATAGAGCGCGCTATAAGAGCGCCACAAAGCGTCACGCGGAGGCGAGTGAAACCATAATTAACGAGCTATGGGCACGCTTGGTCGTGTCAGTGTAGACTCGTAGGTATCCGGTGTTGTCAGTACGGAGTAGAAAGAGTAGGATGTGGTATCGTACAACGTTATGGTATATCTCGTGGCTGCGACTTCGTGAGAAGGTCGTCGAGGTAATGAACGCGTCTCGTTGAAGGAAATGCAGTATATTGTATCACGCGAGTGCAGGGCAAGCTAACCTAAAGCAAGGTGTCGGTGGGTTTGTCGAAGGTGAAGTGTAAAAGTGCGCGGGACTCGCATCGAGAGCGAGCACCAAGGAGTCCCGGTGTCGTGGGATATGCACGCACACGTCAAGATGTCGTCGGGAGGACATAGCAGTCGTACTCGAGCTGTACACATAGGTTCGATCTTCCAGAAGCTTCATGGTCGTTTTGCTGATCCTATGACACTGCCGAAACTTTCGACCGACAAGCGAATGTTGGATAAGACCTGGAAACTTATGGACAAGGTAGTCAAGTTATGTCAACATCAGAGGATGAATTTGAAAAATTCGCCACCGTTTATCCTGGATATCCTACCAGATACGTATCAACGATTGAGACTGATATATAGCAAATACGAAGACAGGATGCAGGTGTTACATAGCAACGAACACTTTTGTGTATTCATCAACAACCTTATGAGAAAGTGCAAGCAAGCGATCAAGTTGTTCAAGGAAGGCAAAGAAAAGATGTTCGATGAAACTTCGCATTATCGTAGAAATTTGACCAAACTTAGCCTTGTATTTAGCCACATGCTGTCCGAATTGAAGGCCATTTTCCCAAACGGTGTGTTTGCTGGACATAAATTCCGTATTACTAAAGCAGATGCGGCCGAGTTCTGGAAAGAAAGCTTTGGAATCAGGTGCGTATCGTTTAATCATCCTTTCCCTTTTTTTCTTTGGTTCTTCCTTTTTGTTTTTGATCATGTAAACAGGACACCTGTCTCGTCGCGTGTGCTTTCCACTCTGACGTGCGTAAAAACGAATAATAAACGCGCGCTCTGTGGCTCGCACGTGCGCACACCTAACCTAAAAACGGCTCTGCGTCTCATTGATATTGACATTAGTACATGCACCAAAAACCGGGACGTGCCTACTGGTTTGCACCTGACGTCATTCGTGAAATGTATTTCATCGCTAGCGGAAGTGTTCTTTTTTATGTACGAACTCGTATAAAGGAAGAACTGTATTTTCGCATGTCCTCGAATAATGAAAATCGAATCATTTTAGTCACTCTGTACCTACTATTGTTTTGATAATAATTTAACAATGTTACTATTGTTACAGGCTTTTTCTTATTAAAATTACGATTAGTTACATACTAGAAATGTAGACACAATTGTAGGCAATTCTTTTAAGCAATAATATTAATGTACGTAAAACGTATAGATTTAAAAACGTTATGGTATCAGTTCCCTTTTAACTTTGAAAAAAAAAAAAAAAAAAAGATGAATCGTGTTTTATGTTTCCGGTCTGAAATATCGGTTATTTAGACGATGAAGCGATAAACGCGGTCGTTGATTTAGTTCGGTATATCGAGTAACAGTTACCGCTGTATTGGCACAAAGTTGCTTCCGGTGCAATCGGAATTTCATTTATACTTGGTTGTGGACTGTTGAACCGTGTAAATTGTCAGAATGAATCGTTATCGGGTTATTGTCAGTGATCGGTTACAGCTCATTGACAGGTATTGCAACATACGAATGAAAAGACTAGGAAAGCGATCTACGATTATTTGAAGTCTAGAGATACCTATATCCTGACAAAAAGATAAGAGAGAGAGAGAGTGAGAAAGAGGGATAGAGACGTGTAAGGCGGGGAAGTTGGTAGAACGGCGGATCGATTGGTTAGATCCGTTTCCTGGTTACTATTCTTGGGGGGCCGGTGGTTTAGTATCGTTTTACAAAACTGATACACCTACTTTTACTGGAATACGTCATGACACAGTATCGGGAAGCGCGTGCCGTGCGCTCTGGGCTACGTGCCGCGTAGCGATTTATCAGCCGGTATAAATAAACGAGCAGCAGTTCGAGCCAATTCATGAATGACTGACTGCTGTACGGTGTCGCGAGAGATCGTCACGATTTGTCAGAACACGAGACTCGTGAACGAATACCCTTTCGTCACACGCGTTCCGCGGCCACTCATCGCCATGGATTTTGCATACACACTAAGATACATATCACGTATACTCGGTTATCTCTTACTTTTTCTTTGCCGCTGTAAGAATATAAATGCAACTATTTATCATTTCATCTCCATTCGTATATGTACACATGTACACCGTGTATAAATGTTTTAATTGTAATTTATGTTTCTCTACGTTACGATGATGTTGCGATATAGTCTATTATCAATCGATAGTAATGGACTATACACAATTGTTTAGTTAGTTAGTTGTTGAAAGTAGAAAATACGCGACTAAAAATAGAACGAATTTCCTGAGAAACGATAAAACATTAATACTGTATGCGGCGCGGAATCAGTTAAATTAAACATCGCCAGGGAGAAGAGCAAAGGAGAGATTCCAGTCGTGGGTTGTACTTCTTCCGTTTCTCTCTCGGTTAATTTCTCGAAATCGTTTCCATCGCCCGCCCTTTTTTCCGCTTCGTCAAACCGTACGTTCGTAGACGAAGTACGAAGCCTACGCGTTTTCCAAGAAAGCTAAACAGGAGTTTAAAGAGCTTTTATCGGGGAACCGTTCTTGTTTTGAACGTAGGATGCGGGCGATTGCAGTATGATTAACATGCGGCGAGCCGACTCGATTACGCCGATGCGCGAACTTTCAGTTTCCGGTCAAATGATCCGCGGACATCCGGTGGCCTATGTTACGCTCTTTGCGCTGTTACGTTCTGCCTCTTTAATCAAGCAAAACCCCTGGGTATTCTTCCTGCGTATTCAATTCGGCGTCGATGAGATAAGCGTAAGTCGTGATTTATCTTACCGGAAACAATATTTATCGTTATTACGCTGTGTAAGATATCTTGAAATATTATCTTGTATCTCGGTATTTTTAATCGACCTTCTCGGCGCATAATGCGCGTCGCTTTCAAAGAAAGCAATTAACAGAGAAAATCGAACACAGACCTTTACAAAGCGATGACGTAACTCGAAAGAAGAAAATACCTCGAAAAACAAATCGAACGTGCATTACGACGATACGAAACTATTCCTTGAGAAAATTTCATTTCGTCCCACGTACCATTTTTTTTTTTTTTTTTTTTCTGTAATT